AAAAAAGATTTACAATCTTGGAAACCCTATGGGGCAGTTCCATTCTGTCCTGTAGGGTCACTATGGTTCAGAATTGACTTGATGGCAGTGGGCTAATAGCATCAAAAAGCTATATATTTAAAACGTTGATCTAGTTCTCCAGTTGAACCCCTTTACAAAAACATATTGTAATATGCTCCCTACGTTTACTGAGGATTGATATAAGCTGACATGAGGAGACAATTTCTGCTTGCTTTTTTGGTGTGTGTGCCAAATTACTATTGAAAATATTTCCCACTGTCTAGTTCAATGTATCACATATAAATACCACTTTTATTTGAGTTTAATGTGTCAGGAAAAATGTTTTTTCATAATAAGAATTTTGATGTAACTCGTCATACTTCCTCTCGATTGCTGTATTGATTCTTAGCCTTAGTTTTGTAGGACAACTCACTTACCCATTGTTTCCCCGTTGGTAGTTTATTCTTATTTAATGGTCATAGAGTATCTATATGTAATTTAATAAAACACTTAAAATTCACTTTGAAAGTTGTGAAGGTGTGCATAGTAATACGTATTTACATCATGAATATTGACAATTTAAGATTACATAATTTATTTTGGAATATTTATTGTGAATAAACCTTAAAAAAATAGATTTCATCTGTGCAAACCAATCTAAACAATGTAAGTATATATACACACGTACACATACATACAATTCTGTATGAAAAATTCGTTAAACAAAGAACGGAGTCAATAATTTGAGTTTGCTTGCAGCTTAGTGATGGAAACCCTAGTGGCATAGTGGTTAAGTGCTACAGCTACTAACCAAAAGGTCAGGAGTTCAAGTCCACCAAGTGCTCTTGGAAACTCTATAGGGCAGTTCTACTCTGTCCTATAGGGTTGCTATAAGTTGGAATCAGCTCGATGGCAATGGGCTTGGTTTTGGTTTTTATGGCTTAGTGAAGTTAATTTCAATCTTCACTTTATTAAATAATTAAATTTTTTTTCTAGTTGTGGAAAATAAAATATTAATTTGAAAATTAATAAGTCAGACCAAGAAGGGATATAAGAGATAATTTAATCCATTTTCTTAATTTATAAATGAGGAAACTGAGGCCCAGGAAAGTTAAGACAAGCTTCCTCAGAGTTTTGCAGGGAGTTAGTGGCAAAGCTGGACATCAATCCATGACCCCTCCCTTCCAGTTCAGTGCTTTTTTACTGCACCTACTGTCTCCAGCTCAGCTTTAATATTTCCTTCTATTTCTTCAGTTGATCTAGGTGTGCTTTTGCCAATTCAACTTTTGTCTAGGTGTTCTTTCTTGTTAAATGAAAAAAAATATTGATTTTTAAAAAACAGGATATCTACTAGGAATAGAGGAGAAGAGTGTTATATAATTGGAAAAGACCAAATAAAAAACCCATGATAATGACGATGGTGCTTTCTCTTTTTATAGAACTTACTATGTGCCTGCCACTGGGCTAAATGCCTTACAAATGTTCGCTTATGCAAACCTTACAAGCAACTTAAACTGTATCTGTTCTACCAAAGGATTGACTTTTATTTAAATTATATGTAGATAAAGTGGGTTCTTTCTATCTTGGATCTATTCAAATCAAAATATACTCCTATAGAACTTAAAACTAATTCTTTAGTTATTTCAAAACATAATCTTTACTATGGCCCAGATTTCTGTTGTCATAGAGGTTTGAGCTATTCTGCCAGAATTTTTATTGAGTCCATAGGAATTTATATTGGAGCATAAACTTATTCCAGTGCTTTATGTCTATAAACACAACTTAAGGTAACAATTTATTATCATGAATAAGATATGTTCACATATATTTATATATTTGCCAAAATTAATAAAGAGTAGATTGAATTCAGAATGTGTGGGGGAAAAAAAAAACCCAGATTAAAGAATATTACAGTGTTAGACAAGAGTACTTAGAGAAATACAGATTAAATAGCCTGAAGTGTAAAGTGTGACATTATACTATATTCAAATTTGTGAAGGACAATTAGAGCAAAATGGAACCCAGCTGTTCTCTACTGTTCACAACCAAGGGAATACAAACACAGAATTAAATTGCAGGAATTCTTTGAAGTCTTATGAATAAAACACAATACCCCTTACATTAGATACACACAGAACTAACACACACAATTTCAAACTAAAAAATTGACAAGTAGGAAAATAACTTATTATTTTTTACAGTGAAAATTTAAATTAAAAGATTTTTGTACTAAAGTACTCTAAGATCCCACAGTTGAAGTTCACATACACAGGTCCTTGAGTGAGTTGAAAAATGATGTAGACACTGAAAACTGCTTGACTCGCTCACCTTCATTACTAGTAATCCTAGGCTTGAATCAGCCAAGTCAAATGAAAATTGAGATGGTGGAGAGTGAAGAACACAGTGGCTCATGATCAAAGCCAGGAGAGTGGACCAGTAGATTACCTGGTCTAGACCAGCCCCTCTTTGGTAGCTATGTTCTCTTTGGTAGGTATGTTCTCTTTGGGATTTTGAGGTAACAGTCTGAAATTGATCAAACATGCAATCAAGATGCATTGATAATTACTGATGATTGGAATGCAAAAACTGGAAACAAAGACAGATCAGTAGTTGGAAAATAGGACCTTGGTGATAGAAACGATACCGGAGTTCCCATGATAGAATTTTGCAAGACCAACGACCTACTGATTGTAAATATCTTTTTTCTGCAACATAAATGACAGCTATACACATGGACCTCACTGGATGGAATACACAGGAATCATATGGACTACATCTGATGGAAAGAGATGATGGAGAAGCTCAATATCATCAATCAGAACAAGGCCAGGGGCTGACTGCAGAACAGGCCATCAGTTGCTCATATGCAAGTTCAAGATGAAGCTGAAGAAAATTAAAACAAGTCCACAAGAGCCAAAGTATGACCTTAAGTATATCCCACTTGAATTTAGAGACTATCTCAAGAATAGATTTGATGCATTGAACACTAATGACCAAAGACCAGATGCGTTGGGGGATGACATCAAGGACATCATACATGAAGAGAGCAAAAGGTCATTAAAAAGACAGAAAAAATAAAAGACCAAAAGGGATGTCAGAAGAGACTCTAAAACTTACTCTTGAAAGTAAAGTAGCTAAAGCAAATGGAAGAAATGAAGTAAGAGCTGAACAGAAGATTTCAAAGGGCAGCTTGAGAAGACAAAGTAAAGTATTATAATGAAATGTGCAAAGACCTGTAGTTAGAAAACCAAAAGGGAAGAACATGCTCTGCATTTCTAAAGCTGAAAAAACTGAAGGAAAATTTCAAGACTTGAGTTGCAATATACAAGGATTCTATGGGTAAAATATTGAACGGCTCAGGAAGCATCTAAAGAAGATAAAAGGAATACAGAGTTACTGTACCAAAAAGAACTGGTGGATGTTCAGCCATTTCAGGAGATAGCATGTGATCAAGAACCAATGGTATTGAAGGAAGAAGTTCAAGCTACACTAAAAGCATTGTCGAAAAACGAAGCCCAGGAATTGACCGAATACCAGTTAAGATGTTTCAACACATGGATGCAACTCTGGAAGTGCTCACTTGTATATGCCAAGAAATTTGGAAGACAATTACCTGGCCAACTGACTGGAAGAGATCCATAGTGGTGCCCATTCCAAAGAAAGGTGATCCAACGGAATGCGGAAATTATCAAACAATATCATTAATATCACATACAAGTAAAATTTTGCTGAAGATCATTCAAAAGCAGTTGCAGCAGTACATCGACAGGTAACTGCCAGAAAGTCAAGCCAGATTCAGAGGAGGACCTGGAACAAGGGATATCATTGCAGATGTCAGATGGATCCTGGCTAAAAGCAGAGAATACCGGAAAGATGTTTACCTGTGTTTTATTGACTATGCAAAGGTATTCGACTGTGTGGATCATTACAAATTATGGATAACATTGTGAAGAATGAGAATTCCAGAATACTTAATTGTACTCATAAGGAACCTGTACATAGATCAAGAGGCAATTGTTTGAACAGAGCAAGAAGATATAGCATGGTTTAAAATCAAGAAAGGTGTGCGTCAGGGTTGTATCCTTTCACCATACGTATGCAATCTGTATGCTGAGCAAATAATCCGAGGAGCTGGACTATATGAAGAAGAACGGGGCATCAGGATTGGAGGAAGACTCATTAACATCTTTCTGTAATATGCAGATGACACAACCTTACTTGCTACAAGTGAAGAGGACTTGAAGCACTTACTGATAAAGATCAAAGACTATAGCCTTCAGTAGGGATTACACCTCTATATAAAGAAAACAAAAATCCTCACAACTGGACCAATAAGCAACATTATCATAAATGGAGAAAAGATTAAAGTTGTCAAGAATTTCATTTTACTTGGATCTACAATCAACACCCATGGAAGCATCAGTCAAGAAATCAATTTGCATTGAGCAAATCTGCTGCAAAAGACCTCTTTAAAGTATTAAAAAGCAAAGATGTCATTTTGAGGACCAAGTGTGCTTGTGTGACCCAAGTCATTATATTTTCAATGGCCTTATATGTGTGCAAAAGCTGGAGAATAAGGAAGACCAAAGAAGAATTGATGTCTTTGAATTGTGGTGCTGGCGAAGAATATTGAATATACCATGGACTGCCAGAAGAATGAACAAATCGATCTTTGAAGATGTACAGCCAGAATGTTCCTTAGAAGCAACGACGGTGAGACTTCGTCTCATGTACTTTGGACATGTCATCAGGAGGGACCAATCCCTGTAGGACATCATACAAGGTAAAGTAGAAGGTCAGCAAAAAAAGGGAAGACCCTCCACAAGATGTATTTGACACAGTGATGCAACAACGGGCTCAAGCACAACAACAATTGTGAGAATGGTGCATGACTGGGCAGTGTTTCATTCTGTTGTACACAGGGCTGCTATGAGTTGGAATTGACTCGATGGCACCTAACAACAACACCAACAATAAAAAGTCAGGCTTGCAGAATGTTCAGGTGTTTTATTAACTTCATGATGCTCACTAACATCATGGGAAGCAAACTTTATAGTCAGGGCTTTTTCCCCACCTGTCAATGTAACCACCTTCAACACCTGAAGCCTTGTTGGTATTCCTATTATACAATTTCTAGAATTTGTTTTATGAGTCTGTTCAACTTTATAACCTCATCACTTTTATGTTGTCTGGCACATAGCAAAAGTTAAATAAATGAGCAAATTCACTGAACCCTAGGGGTATATGGCTAGAAAGTGCTTTAGCAATCATCTTGTCTAGCAGCTTTGTTTTACAGAAATGGAAGCTGAGTCAAATAGAATCCAAGCAACTTGCCCAACTCTATACAACTAATTAATGAAAGATCCAGGACTAGAAGTCAGATTTGCTTTCATCCACTTCATGGGTGAAACTATAATTTTGGAGATACAGGTCCATATTTGCAGGCAAGATTTCCAGGACTCTGAGATGGTGACGTAGTTAATTCTTAAGTGGGCTGTAAAAGTGAATGAAGAGAGGACTGCCGCTGTCAGCAGATATGATTCCTCTGGTGTTCTGACTGCTGTCCCCGGTGCCATAGGACTGACCACAGTTGGCTCTCTGAGGATTGAGCGTTCTTTACCATAGACTTTTGAGTCTGTTAACTACTAGGATTACAATGGAATAACCCAAAATAAAGCCTTATCTGAAATATTAACAACTGTGCCATCAAAGAAATAGTATTTTAAAGAGTACATTTGATTGTGATAGTTTGAAATAATTTTACAAGGCTTTATTTTTGTCTTTTGATATAAAGAGATTTTGTTTATTATCACATCTTTTTTAATGACTACTATTTTTAGCTCTCAGAGTATGTAAAACCTTTAAGGTTAAAAATATTAAGAGTTGTTTATAACTCTTCAGACAGGGATTGGACTGGACTGTGGGACATAAAGTGATACTTGTGAGGAGTGTGCCTCTTAGCTCAAGCAGATACAAGAGACCAAAGGGGCAGCTTCTGTCCAGAGGTGAGATGGGGAGGCAGAGAGGCTTAGGAGCTGGTTGAATGGACATGGGGAATCAGGGACGGAAAGGAGGAGTGTGCTGTCGCAGAATGGAGTGAGCAATTAGAGTCACATAACAATGTATGTATAAAAATTTGTATGGGAGACTAACTTGAAATGTAAACTTCATTTAGACTACAACAATAAAAAAAATAATAAGAGTTGTTTATAAAAATACCTTTGGGGAGTTTGATTTAAAAATATTTAAAAATTTATCTGATAACTAGTAGTGTTAACCAACAGATGTTAAACACTTGTTTTTTCCCCCAATAGTAAAACTCTTTTCAACCCTTTTGTTTGTTTGTTTTCACCAAAACCAAATTGCTCTATCCTTTTCTTGTTTAGGAAAAAGTGATCCATGGAGTTTACATGCCCAGAGGTTATCTTGAATTGATACCGAATCCTAAAGACAATGAAGTGAATCACATAAGAGCAACATGTTTTAATAGCGACATAGTCCTGATGCCAGAGTTATCCACCTTTAAAGTTTTGCCATGGGCTGAGAGAACTGCAAGAGTGATATGTGATACGTTCACTGTGACCGGTGATCCTCTGTTGACTTCTCCAAGGTACATTGCAAAGAGGCAGCTGAACCACTTGCAGGACTCTGGCTTTTCCCTGCGCTCTGCCTTCATCTATGATTTCTGTATTTTTGGTGTGCCTGAAATTATCACCTCCAAGACCATATCTTTTCCTGTTTCACCATTACTAAATAACCATGAGCAACGCTTTATGCACGAACTCATTGATGGTTTGTATCAGATTGGAGCCAATGTTGAGAGCTTTTCCTCCTACACTAGGCCTGGTCATATGGAAATCTGTTTTCTGCCAGAATTTGGCATCAGCACAGCTGATAATGCATTTACCCTAAGAACAGGTGTCAAAGAATTGGGAAGGAAATATAATTATATTGCCAGCTTTTTCATTGAGACTGGATTCTGCAATTCAGGAATTTTGTCTCATAGTCTCTGGGATGTCAGTGAGAAGCAAAATGTATTTTGCAGCAGTTCTGGAGTTGAAGGGCTCACAATGACTGGCAAAAAATGGTTGGCTGGACTCTTGAAACACTCTGCAGCTCTCAGCTGCCTGATGGCTCCTGCTGTTAGCTGCCGAAAACGTTATTCCAAGGAAAGTAAAGACCTGAAGCAGAGTGTGCCTACAACCTGGGGATACAATGATAACAGCTGTGCGTTTAATATCAAGTGTCATGGTGAGAAAGGCACCCGGATAGAAAATAAACTAGGCTCAGCGACAGCAAACCCTTACCTGGTGCTGGCTGCGACTATTGCTGCAGGCTTGGATGGACTTCAAAGCAGTGATGGTGTCTTGGCTGGTCCAGAGGACAGCACAGACTTTTATCAGCCGAAACCTTCTGAGATCCCTTTGAAACTGGAAGATGCCCTTGTGGCACTAGAGGAAGATCAATGTCTGCGACAGGCTCTAGGAGAAACTTTTATTCGCTATTTTGTTGCCATGAAGAAATATGAGTTGGAAAACCAAGAAACTGATGCTGAGAGAAATAAATTCTTAGAGTATTTTATCTAGAATAAATCCCTTAAGGATATGATTATTGCTTGAGTAGCTAATCTTCCAGAAAGAAAAGATTAAAAACAGAACAAACAAACAAACAAAAACCTGAAATACTGTCACTCTTTTTTATCCCCATGGAATATTTAATAGAAACAAACAATAAAGTTGTGATGAAGCTGTAGTATGCAAACTCACCAGACTTGTCGGGCTGTCATGATTTGCTCTGTGTTTTTTGTATGTTGACCAAGATAGGAATAATCAGTGTTCCCAGGCAATAATTACATTCACGCATTAAAAAAAAAAAAAAGACTTAAACTTTAGAAAGAAAAATTTAAATGACTAAAACATAAGAAGAAATAACCAATTACACACATAGGTTGAGACAAAAATACTAATATAATCTCACATCTCACTAGTCAAGACATAAGGAGGCCTGATGACGCAGTGATTAAACACTTGGCTGCTAACCGAAAGGTTGACAGTTCAAACTCACCAGCCACTCTGGCAGAAAGATGTGACAGTTTGCTTCTGTAAAGCTTTATAGCCTTGGAAAACCTATGGGGCATTTCTACTCTGTCTATAGGGTCACTATGAGTCAGAAGAGACTTGATGGCAATGGGTTTGGATTTTTTTTTGGGATCAACATATTGAGGATTCAGTTTGAGAACATCATTGTGATCTTTCCAAATAAGTTAAATAATTTGCAAAAATATGTCATGATATGAGTTGGCAGAAGTTTTCACGTGTCCCTTCTTTTTTTTGTCCTTCTCCATTAGCTCCTGAAAGATTTAGGAGCTTCGGATCTATCATATCTCCACAAAACAAATCCACAAGGAATAGAATTAGGGCTGGGGACAATGAGGTCAGATATTTGAAAGTAGCTGTTTTAGCTAGTGTTGCTGTAACAGAAATACCACAAGTGGGTAACTTTTAATAGACAGAAATTTATTTTCTCACAGTTTAGAAGGCTAGAAGTCTGAATTCAGGGCATCAAATATAGGCGAAGGCTCTCTGTTGGCTCTGGGGGAGATCCTTGTCTCTTTCACCTTCTGTAGCCCCAGCGCTCTTTGGTTCCTTGGCGATCTTCACATGGCATCTATCTCCCTCAGTATGTGCTCAATTCCGTGTCTAATCTGCTCTTTGTATAATTCAAAAGTGATTAAGTTTAGAACTGTCTTAGTTATCTAGTGCTGCTATAACAGAAATACTACACGTGGATGGCTTTAATAAACAGAAATTTATTTTCTCACAGTTTAGGAGGCTAGTAAGTCTGAATTCAGGGCGCCAGCTCTAGAGGAAGGCTTTCTCTCTCTGTCAGCTCTGGGAGAAGTTTCTTGTCTCTTTTTAACAACTGTGGGACCAGCGCTCCTTGGAGATCTTCATGTGTCTTGGCACCAATCTTCCCCAGAGTCTAGGAGCTTCTTAGCACAGGGACCCTGGGTCCAAAGGATGCACTTTGCTCCCAGCTCTTCATTCTTAGTAGTATTAGCACCGCCCCCCCCCACACTTCCTTCTCCTTTTATATCTCAAAAGAGATTGACTCAAGATACAACCTAATCCTGTAGATTTTGTCCTGCCTTATTAACATAACTACCTCTAATCCTGCCTCATTAATAGCATAGAAGTGAGGATTTACAACACATAGGGTAATCACATCAGGTCACAAAATGGAGGGCAACCAAACACTACTAGGAATCATGACCTAGCCAAGTAGTCTATTTTTCAGAGACACAACTCAATCCATAACAGGATGCATCCTGCACTGATATGATCTCATTAGTATAGCAAAGAAAATCCTATTCCGTAGGATTACATCCAAAGGTATGGAGGTTAGGATTCTAACACAAATGGGGGGGGGGGTGTCAAAATTCAGTCCATAACTGTAGCCAAAGCCTTTCTTTACACAGTACCTCATATAGAAGCCCAACGTATAAAAAAATATAGGCGTCATGGGGTATGTGTGTGATGGGGGGGTGGAATTTACTTGCTTTGCTGTATTTTTACTTGTTGCCTGAGACATCACTTTGAAACTTCTAGTGCTCTGTGGAGTATGAGAACCACTGCCTAGCTGACCAAGGCTATATCTGCAGCTTAAATTTGTATTTAAATTACAGATTCTGTGGTCCACAGAGGCTGGTTTCTCCCCAAAGAATATTAAAGGTTCTAGGTTTTTTGTTTGAATGAGATAATATTGTAACTATCACTAAAGTGTAGCTTCCTTTGTGAAGAAGTCCAAAATCCACTTACTAGCAAATGAAAACACTATTCTACTTAGGATCAAACAGGAGATTTTATGTTCAATTAAAACTGACTGTGGTCTCAATTAGATAGGAAATACACAAGCAGAGGGCTGGAATTTGGCCCAGATCCTTCTATTGAAATTCTTAGTACTCAGTAGCTTTAATAGTGAATGTCAATCTCTCCTTTACTAGTTGCTCCTCTCGTTTCTCGTGTGTTTGTATACACCAGAATAAGGTTCTTGAGTAGATTAAGAGAGAGAGTGAAAGCACTTAGGAGAGAGAAAGGCAGTGTGGTGAGGAAGCAAAGGAATCCGCAAAAGCTCCGAGAATGAAATTCCACACATTATTACATAATGGGAGGGCTAGGGAGGAACCCTGTGGCAGCTTGCTAGTTGTCTGCCAGTAGTCATTCCCCCTTGGTCCTCACTAATAGAACCTCAAAGTGTTAACTGGGAACACACCAAGCAAAGTAAATATGACATTTCTGAACTCCATTGTGGCTGAATGAGTTCATGTTATTAGGTTCAGGCCAAAGAGATGTTAGTACAAGTGTTGTATGGAAGCTTCTAGGACATTTCCTTAAGATTAATGCTGTGTCCCCTGCCCTTTCCCTTTCCCTTTTTTCCCTTCACTTTCCTGCTGGCTAGCCTGCAGATAATGGGGTTAGTGTCATGCCCTTAGGAATGGAAATACCCTTGCCCTTGAGAATAGAATCCACACAATGTGGAGTAACAAGCAAGAGAGATTGACAGAGACAGAGAGAGTGAAGGAGACAGGGAGGGAAAACGAGGGAGAGCGAGAGAGAGAAAACTCCTATCTCTTTAAGTCACAGTGACTGGGTTTTCATTACGTGCAGCAAAACTTGATCCTTAATGATATACTTTCTTTCCTGCTTGTGTGTGTGAATGTGAATGTACATGTGTGTATGTGTACACCATTTGAGGTGTTTGGGGATGAGAGAATAAAGATGCAAGAACAAGTGAAACTACTCTCTCAGTTTGTCCACTTCTAGAGAGGGGCATATCAGAGGAATCCAAATACACACACAATTGCATTGTCTCTCACCCTAATAGGGCTATATACCAAAACCAAACCCATTGCTGTTGAATCAATTCTGACTCATAGCAACCCTACAGGACAGAGTAGAACTGCCCCATAGGGCTTTCAAGGCTGTAATCTTTACGGAAACAGACTGAAACATCTTTTTCCCGCAGAGCAGCTGGTGGGTTTTGATTCGCAGCCGAGCATTTAACTACTGCGCTACCAGGGCTTCTTCGTAATTCATGGGCCTTCATGAAACATGTCTAGTGCTTTGGCTATAAAAACTCTGCTAATCACAATGTTTGTAGCTTTTTTTTCCTTTCACATTATTAACATAACTTAAAAACAATATGCAAATGTCTTAGTCATCTAGTGCTGCCATAACAGAAATACCACAAGTGGGTGGTTTTAACGAAGAGAAGTTTATTTCCTCACAGTCAAAGTAGGCTAAAAGTCCAAATTCAGGGCATCCGCTCCAGGTGAAGTCTTCCTTTCTCTGTCGGCCTTCTCATCAGTGTTCCCCTGGACTAGCAGCTTCTCGGCGCAGGGACCCCGATCCAAAGGACGCGCTCTGCTCCCGGCACTGCTTTCTTATTGGTATGAGGTCCCTCTGTCTCACTGCTCACTTCTGTCTTTTATATCTCAAGAGATTGCCTCAGGACACAATCCAGTCTTGTAGATCAGGTCCTGCCTTACTAACACAACGGCCCCCCATCCTCCCTCTTTAACATCATAGAGGCAGGTTTACAACATACAGGAAAATCACACAGTACCGGGAATCATGGCCTAGCCAAACTGGTACACACGTTTTTTGGGGGACATAATTCAAACCATGACAGCAGGTTACCACTGGGAGGGAATTATGTAACTGTGAGTATTACCTACAATGTTGCACAGTAGTGAAATGACAGAAAATATTCAGCAATATGTTACAAATCAGTTTATAACATAAGTTGGTATGGCAATCTCCACAGAGATTTCAATTAGGCTTGTGCTGATATATATTCTTGTTTTTTTAAACATTCTAAAAGTAAGCATTGGTCAAGGGAGTTTAGGGCTAAAGAAAATTGGAATAGACATAAAAATTCAGTTATGTTTCTGTCTACTTCTTTTTCTCTGTTCACAGGCTTTCTATGTTTGAGGGGACTTTCTGCTGGTGCTTCTAACCTCTTGCTCTAGGTATGAGGCCATTCATTCATTCAACAGCATTTATTGGGCACATTTTGTGCGGTAAGCCTTCTGCTGGGAGCCACTGTACTAGGAGAGGCCAAGACAAAGAAGACAAGCAGACAATGAAAGAATTTTGGATCTACGTATCTTAAGCAGAATAGAAAGAATTTTTGTGGACCTAATGCTGAAAAAAACTGTTTAGGAGGCTGCTTTATGGCTTGAAAAGGAAGTTTTATGAATCTCTTCACAGAAATTACTTTCTTATTTTCATTTACTATAATTGTTCCAATCAAAGCTTGGGGAAAATGTGATTACTGAATTTAAAGTTGGTTATTAAATGAGTATATGTATGAACTGTAAATTAAAACTATAACGTTTTAAAACTAGAAACTAAAACATCAGTGCAATAGTAAGAAGTTTCTCTTATCAAGGACATTTTAAGGCTTCTGGGCACTAAAATCTCATTTTACAGTGTCTGAAACCACAATATAATAACAATGAAGCTTGAAATGATGATTTGAATGCAATGAAAGATCTAAAAATTTTAACGTGAGTAAAAATTGAAGGCACATAGTAGAGTTGGAACTTATCAGCACACAGAACAGTCTACTGACATATTTCCAGTCACCTGTTTAACCAAATAAACTTATGATATAGGTATTATTGGAGAATCCCTTTCATCTTGGCTCTCCTATTGAAGTTGCTAGAACCTGTGTCTCTAAACTTTACATGTGTATAGTACCTTGCATCTTGCCTTTTAGAGCTCCTTTCATGTCGCTGTAATTAATGGCTTATATGATAGTTTTCCTAAGTAGGATGTGAGTTCCAGGAACAAAGGGAACAAGGAATTATATTTCTTATGCCTCACAGATGTTCCGGAACTCAATAAATGGGGAAATGGTTCATCAATCAATCAGTGAATGAATAGTGTATAAGCATAGTAAAGCACTATGCTGGTACCGTATAATACTCAAACATACATTCACATACCCAGAGAGAGTGAGAAATAGAGGTGGAGCCAGCTGAGAGAATCAACAGTTTGTAGTTTGTTATTGGTCCTAAAATTTCTGCCGTTAGATTAATTTCTTCAGGTTCTGTTTCTAGAAACTCCTGAGAAAACACAAATTTGATCAGCTTGATGAAGATTGTGAATATCAGAGAGCAGGTTGGAGTGGTCATGCTTTTTGGCCATGTGGAACCTTCCAGTGGCTTTCTTATGTTTGTGGAATTCCTCCACTTTTAACTCAGAAGCCAGAATCTCACCTTTCCAGTTACTCTCGCAGCCATGGTGCAGAGACTCCACGTTCAGCTGCAACCACTCAACCCACGTGGAGTCCATTCTGGGTAAGCTGAGGGAGGCGGTAGTGGCAGGAGTCCCAGTGGTAGCATCCCAGCGTAGCATTGGTGGCGCTATTAGCCAGTGGTAGTGGCCTCAAGGCGTCTCTGGATTAGTCAAGTATAGCTTCCAAGCCTGATTTTCTGGCCCTCCCAGATTCTGTGAACTAGTTAGTATAGTTTAATAAATTCCATTTCTGCATAAACTAGGTAGAATTTGCAAGAAAAAGCGTGGCTAAAAGCAGTATATAAAAAGAACACACAAAGAGAAAAAACCTTTGATAAGGGAAGGAGGAAAGAAAGGCAGAGACCATTCCTGAATCAGAAGGCTAGGGACAATTTAATGTTTATATTAGATTTAGATAAAACATGTTAGTTAAGCTCTTCACATACAGTATACATTGTGCAAATGCTTTCTCATTCATTGTCTTATTTGATGCTCTTAAAATTTTATGAGAAGGAATGCTTATCATTTTAAGATAGATCTAAGACTCAGAGAAAGTAAATGTTGGGAGAATTGGGAATCCCAGGTTTCCACTCTGAGTCTCATGGTCTCTTTGCTATACGCAAATGCCAACTGCTATATGGTCCCAGAAGAGGTCAACAGTGAAATTTATGTTGCATATTATATTTTAATTTTAAGGCTTCTGGGCACCAAAATTCAGGGAGATAGTTAAATAATTGGACTTTTCCTTTTTGTTAATATGCAGTTCAATTTAATGTACTTTCACTGAGTTTTCAGTCAATATGTTAGACTACAAACAAATCTCAGCAAACCAGATGGGGTTTTGTTCAGGTAAGTAGCTACCTGCCTGATAACTCTATCCAGGTCAGAAAATCATCACAAAGGAGTATCAGGCCATACAATCATTTATTTTTCAACTTTTCTTATAGAAGAATAGTAATTTTGAGCCTTAAATAGTTTTATAATTTTTTTGAAAATAAAAAGATACTGGTTGTTGTTCTGGTTGAATTTTCTGACGGCCCTGAGAATTTGAACAGGTACCATTTAAATTATTTTGTTCCATCTTTAGAAATATTCTTTGGAAAGAACTCAGCGAGAGCATAAAAGATTTGATACTTCTCTTGGGCTGCTTAAAGGATAACAAATAAAACGCTGGTTTTTGAGAACAGCCAACCTACGTGAAGGAGAAAGGTGTAAATTAAGGGGGAAAAGAGTATCGTCTGAGAACCTGGTGCACAATAAGATAAAAACAGGGTTTTTTTTCTATTATTTCCTTTTTGGGATTTTTCTTTTTAGAATTATTATCAACAGTCAATCATATTAGTCTTACCTGGAAAGGAAAGAAATGAATAGGCATGTACAAGACTTATTGAATAAATTGTTTCATTTTGTAAAGAGTCTTTCAAACATACGCTAGAGGGCAGCAATGTACCATTAAACAGTCAGTATTAGTAGCTCAGAATTCCTTGCAAAGCTAATATTAAACGGGAAAGTAACCAGATTGTAAATTAATGAAAATTGAAAAAAATGTATTAGAACTACTAAAAGCAGAAATGCATTTCAGACCATGTGACTTGTATTTGAATATAGTTTGGTTAACAGATATTAAGGATGGTCTCAATATTAGAGGGTGACAAGAAGAGTATTGGAAGGATATAGTATTATGGATAGTAAAGGGTATATTTGAGAGCCATTAGAAATATGAAACCATGGAAACATTAGCTGCATTCTGTGATGCCTGAAATTAGTCCAGATTTAGTAAATTCTGGATGACTTTGCAGTGGATTTAGAATAAATAGGTCTGAAAAGAACTAGAGGAGACACATTAAATATTTTTATGAACTATCAAAAGAATAGTGAAAAATCTAGCTATGATTTGTTATTTACTTGGAAGTTTATTTAAATGGATCAGATTATAAGAGCCTCTGAAATATTTACAAATCAAACTCTACACATTTCTTTCTGAGATAACTGGAAAACATGTATGCTAATTAACTTATGAGGTGAACAAATTATGATACTTTCTTGTCTAAAATAAAAAAACGATTCTAGATACTAAATTGTTATTGAAGTTAGATACAAAGTAGCATTTCTATTTAATTTATCATCTCATTATTTTTGAGAGACATATTATATTTAAATTACCAAAGGGGAAGATACGGAACTGGATACGTGTTTCTCCCTCTCAAAGAACTTTCAATTTAACTGAGGAAATAAAGTATATTTATAAATGTCTGTGGATACAGGATGGCATGTAGACGTTGAGCAGGAGTGAAAAACAGTAGAGGAAAAGAACATTGATCAAATAATACTGGGGTCTCAGCTGTATGACAGATTTCCTTGATTCCAATCTCAATTGTCCCAGGATGGTAGTGGTTAATCAGGGCTTGAAGAAGGAAAAGGAATGTGGCTAGAAAGGGAGAAGAGCATTACTACCGACGGCGGCTGTGTCAGGTGGTCCCACTCCTTTTTTTTTTTTTTTTGGCTTTAACAAAGAGAAGTTTATTCTTTCACAGTCTAGGAATGGTCCCACTCCTTAATTTCCTGCCAATAAGTCTGAGTCTTCCTTCAGTCTCACCACGTTTCCTCCTTCCCTTCCTTCGCAATACAAGAGGTGTCCCTCAGGTGTTCTCAAGATCCCACCTATCTGATCTCCTCTAGCCCTAATGTTACCCTAACATTATCATTTAGCAGCTTCTCTCCTGTACCTGAGAAGCCCTGGTGACACAGTGGTTAAGTGCTTGGCAACTAACCTAAGGATCAGCGATTCAAACCCACCAGTTGCTCCGGAGGAGGAAGATGTGGCAGTCTGCTTCTGTAAATATTGCAGGCTTTGAAACCACATGGAGCATTTCTATTGTGTCCTATAGGGTCATTATGAATTGGAATCGACTCAACAGCAACAGGTTTTTTCTCCTGTATCTCTAGCATATGTGTCTCTCCTGCTGTAAATGTGAACACCTTTACATGTTTCCAATGTGTATATGAAACACACACAAGATAAAACCAAAAACAAAACGATAAATTCCAAGTACCTTTCTTACTCTTGCCTCTTCAAAATCAAAATGATTTATTGAGTTATATATCCTTACTCTCTCTACTTCTTCTATTTCTTCCTCACAGCTTGCCACTATTACCCCAAATATTCTGACTTCTACCCACACAAGTCCAGTCCAGCTGTTTCACCAAGGTTAACAGTGACCTCCCTGTTGGCGGGCTATATCTCACTCTTCATGCTTCATGACTACCAGACAGGCAGAATTTGACACTGCTGACCTCTGTTTCTTTGTTGAAATGATCTTTCCTTGGCCTGTAAGACACTATGGGCTCTAGGTGTGCTATCTCTGGCCACTTGTCAATTTCCTGTGAACTCCTCTCTTCTGTCTGTTGCTTACTTGTTGGGTATTATGCAAGATTCTTTATTCTAGATGCTCTCCTCATTCTAAAAAGTATCACCGTAAGAACTTCTTTATTATTGTTATTATTTTCACTGATTAAGACTTCGTTTGAAGTAATGGAAATCAAACTGAACTTGATTACACATAAAGAAGGGGTTTTTTTTTTGTTGTTGTTGGTAAAGATATAAGGCTACCTCATAGACCTTAGGTCCATGCAGCTAGGGCTCCAAAAGAGACCTAACCAGGGACCAAGCATTGTAAATTACCCAGAAATTCCTTGGTCTCTGTTCTCATGTCTACATTTTTCTTCATGCTAGCATCATGCTTCTTACTGGACCCTGGCTCTCTCTGTTTCCTTCTCTACATGAAGGAAAATGACTGCTAAAACAACAGCCCAAGTTTACATCTTTTATGTTCAATGAGCATGTATCTGACACTGGAATCTCTTAGAACCAGCTCCAAATTCCCTGGTTCAATTTGACTATTGTACCCACTCCTCATTCAGTGAACCTGGAAGGGGCAGTCATATTGTATAAGCATGGCTGTTCTCTCTATTATACTGAGAATAGGGGCAGAGAAGTTGTCTTAGTCTGGTTTCTCTAGAGCAGCAAAACCAGTAAAGTGTATATATATATATATATAGAGAGAGAGAGAGAGAGAGAGATTGTAGAGTCTGGGACGTCCCAAATCTGTGGATCAGGATAGAGGCTTCTCCTGATTCACTTAGCCGCAGGGACTGATGAACCCAAGATTGGCATGTCGGAGAGCAAGGCTCTTGCTCACAGGCTGGGAAGATCAACAAATCCCAAGATCAGCATGTAAGCTGCTAGCTCAAGTCCAAAGAACAGGAGGTCAGACAAACCAGAGCCAGTTGCAGGATCCAGAGCAGGCAAAAGCCAGTAAGTCTGCTTATATTTGGATGAAGGCCGCATGCCCAAGGAAACTCTTTCAACTGATTGGCTACTCACAACAGATCCCATCATGATCACATATAAACACTGAGAATCATGGCTCAGCTAAGCTGACACACAATCTTAACCATCACAAAAGGGGAATCCCAGTGGTTGTCCATCGTGAGTCTCAAAACTTCATTTTCCATCTACAAGTAGGTTTCTTGATTTCAAATCAATATCTCAAAATGCAGCTTGGCTTGATGTCCTGCAAGAATCTCAAATGCAACACGTCCAGTGCTTAACTCATGACCCCTCCTCACCTATCTGGCCTAATAACCTACATGTTGGTCCTCAGCAGTGTTTCAAGTCTTCATTGGCCTTCCTCCAGGACATGTCCCTTGTCATGCCTGGCCACTGGTCCTCCTGTTGTCCAGGAGGGTTGATGAGATGTGTGGTCTGCTCTCTTCACATGGTCAGGGAGTTCCCAAGCCCCTTCTCTTCTGCTGACTCACACTCACTTCAGCTCCTTCTAGAACTATCAGTCCTCTGAGTCCCAGCCATGTCCTCCATCTGTGCCGCTTCGGCTATGGCTTCACCTCACCCCACAACACTCTGGCCCAGAGCAGTCATGCTGCCTGTCTTCATTCTTAGCAAGTGATCTTGGGCAAATAACCTTAAATTCTTTGAGCCATAATTCATTCATAAAATGGGGATATCCTCCTTTCCACCTCAACAAACCTGTTACAATATTTTTTTCCTTTTTTTTTACTTAAAAATACTACACACAAAGTCAGGTCAAGGTACTAAGAAGCCTCACAAATGCATTGCTTTAATCTGATTTGGACAAAAAACCAAAAACCAAACCTGTTGCCGATGAGTCGATTCTGACTCATAGAGACCCTTTAGGACAGAGTAGAACTGCCCCATAGGGTTTCCAAGGAGTGGCTGGTGGACTTGAACTGTTGACCTTTTCGTTAGCAGCCGATCTCTCAACCACTGCACCACCAGAGGTCCTGATTTGGCCCATCCTTGAAACATGTGACTATATGAATGATTGTATGATTTAATCATCCAGCATTTACTGAAAGTTTTGCTTTATGTTGTATTAATAGAAATCTAAATCAAGCGGGGAATAAGAAAACATCTTGACTGAATTCTTCAGAGAGCATCTGAATTGGACTCCACTTCTGATCCTGTCGGCCTCTCTCTAAGGCATAAAACAATGCCCTAAAGATTCTATTGGCAAAGTCACCTGCCACAGTTGAGACTCCTGGGGGAGGATGGGATAGAACCATTCTTCCATTTCAGGGATACTCCTTATCATACTTGTGTAACCAGTCAAGGATGGTCTACGCTACATGGTGAGTTTATAGTATTTTTGAGGGGTTGGGAGGAAGGGAAGGAGTAATTATTTTTACATGCCCGGTGTGTTGGCAGAGCTATTTCTGTCTCACTAGTATGAAAGAAGAGAAAAACAAAAAAAAGTGAGAAAATGAGGTAGTTTTAGGAATAACAGTAGTTACAAGGATGTTCTAAGACAGTGCTACTATTTTATTGTTATTAGTGAGACTAATAGTGTGAGAACAGCAGTATCTCGAAGCTTTTTAGAAATGCAAATTTCCGGCCCAGGAATGTGTTTTTGCAAGTGCTCTAGGCAATTCCTCTGCTTGCTAATGTTTGAGAAGCTCTGCCCTGAAAGATCAAGACCTATCTAATAGTTCACAGGGATTTCCATAAACCCCTACTCTGAGAGAGAGAGAGAAATACACAAAGGCTTCTGCTGCTTTCAAGATGCTACTTCCATGTTTCTATTTCATGTGCCCCTGGGGCAAACTTTGGCTAGTCTACATTGCTACAGTAGCCAAACAGCTGTTCTCATGCCTAGGATAACTTCTTAATACCCAAGCAAGGCTTTTACATGCTTTAAAAAAAGCATGTTATCTGCTGTGCTATTAAGTCCTACATGATGGCTATTAATCAAGTTTGCAGCTAAGACAGTTAAAAGCTTCTTGACATGTGAATGATCTCGTTTCACTTTATCCCTTACTCCTTTCAGGAAGGAGAGAGACTCTGTAAAGAATAGCCTCTGACTGAATGGTTCAAACCTGTTGAGTTTAGTATATTTTTTAAGAATAGAACTTTAGCAGCACATTTAACCTTATTGAGCTATCTGATATTCCCAGGAGGTAAAATTCTCGCATGATCAAGAAGTCGTATGATTTTTCTTCGGTACTGGTTAGGGTTATGCCATGCTTCTTAATTCACTTAAACAATAAGAACTCCCCTGATCAGTTCAGTTCATAGAACAGACACAGTTATGTTAGGATATATACTCAAATTTTACACCTTGCATTTGTCTGCATCCTATAAAGGATTCTGAAATGCTTTATTCACATCAGATTCAAACACACACACACACACACACACACACACACACAATGATGGGAGAGAGGGAAACAAAGTATTATCTGTTATAGATTTAAACCTTTACATAGAAACATAACAATGAACAATTTGAAAACGTGTAGTCATTTTGCCTATTGGGGCAGTCTAACGTACTGTCTTATGGCATAGTCTCTTGAATTCCATTGCCTGGGTGAGAGTTCCAGGTCTACCACTTACTATCTCTTAGTCCTTGGGTAGATTTCTTAAAATTTTTGTATCTAAGTTTCTGTATCTGTAAAATGAGGATAATAACAAAATCTCAAAAGTCAACACGAGGATTATATTAGTTAATGCACGTAAAGCCCGTAGAACAGTGCCTGGCATTTGTTAAGCATGCAGAAAGTATTTGTAATTATTGGTATAGAATTATTTGTTTATTTTTGACAAAATAGGAAATATGGATTTCTTTTTGTCCTTTCCAAACAGTTTGAGATCTCTTCAGCTGGGGGATAAAGCCTAGAAAAAGGAGTTACTTCAGGGGCTAACGTGGGGTGGGGGTACATAGATGGAGCAAGTGTAGGGACCAACTCTATGCTTCCAACCTCAATGCCTTCTGGCTTCTAGGCTTGTTTTCCTCCCTCCCACTCCAAATAATTCTCATTGCTCTGAACAGGATAAGGGAGCACTACTTTTTTTTTTTTTTGAGTGTGCGTGATTTTTAAAAATGTATTTTATTACTTGTAATAGACTTCAAAGACGCATAGTCTTTAACTGACAGAAAATATAATGGTGCATCAGATTCAACCAGTCCCCCAAACGTTATTCTTCACTGTTATGTTCTATATAAATATAAGAAGAAGAGAACACCCACAAATGGAGCTTTCTGAGAGAAATCCCGGGTAGCATGGGTTTTCTTCTGTTTGTGAAGTTTAGAGGAATCTTTTTAACATAATAAATCACAATGAGTTTCTTGAACCATCAAAAGGACTGAAAGGCAGGGCTAGTCACTCATTTTCTTACTACTAAAGTACATTTATCATGGTAAGTCAGAGAAGAAATATGCAGGGTTAAATGCAGATTTGAATAATTTATACAAAGGACAAAATACTAACATGCAAAAAAATGATGTTTGACACTGGAGTTCCTTCTGAAAAAATTTTATTTTATTAGATTTCAAGGAAAGTAAGCTTATTCTAAAGACTAACAGATTTGTGATAACCTTTTAAACAAAAATTCTTTCCCAATGAGAGATATCTATAATTAATTTAGGAAGACAATATTAAAAACTGATAACAATATTTAGACCAGAAAACATCATACAATTTTATAAGTTTATAGCTTCTTTTATATCATTTTCACATTTGAAAATCTTGCCAGTGATTATATATTATTGTTTTATAATTTATTTTATTTTTTGTTGTTGAGAATATCTCAGCAAAACCATAAACTAATTCAAGTTTCTACATGTATGATTCTGTGACATTGATTACATTCTTTGAATTGTGCAGCCATTCTCATCCTCCTTTTATGTGTTGTTCCTCTACCACTAACATAAACTCACGCTTCCTAAGTCTGCTATCTAATCTTTTGAGTTGCTGTTGTCAATTTGATCCCATATAGATAGTTGTTAAAAGAGCACAATGCTCAAGGCAGATGTTCTTTACCAGTTAAGCTAAACTATTGTTTGGTTTTAAGAAGATTTCAGGGGATATTTTTGTTTAAGGTTTAAAGGTTTATCTCAGGACAATAGTTTCAGGGGTTCATCCAGCCTTTAGGGCTCCAGAAAGTCTGGATTCCATGAGAATTTGAAATTTTCTTCTGCATTTCCTCCCTTTTGATCAGGATTCTTCTATATATATTTTTTTTTTCTAAAGACTTTTAAAAAATCACTCCCAGAATAATAATCTACTTTATTTTGTGCTCCCTGGTTTAGTTCTGTTGTTGTTGTTAGTTGCTGTTGAGTTGATTCTGAATCATGGCAACCCCATACGTTACAGGTTACAGTATCTGCACAGTGTTTTCTAGGCTATAATCTTAACAGAAGCAGATCACCAGGACTTTTCTTCCTTGGTACCACTGGGTAGGTTCAAACTGCCAACCTTTAGGTTATCAGTCAAGCACAAACCTTTCGTGCCACCTAGAGACCTTGGTTTAGTACTATGAAGTTCAAATAATGATTAATGACCTTTTTAAATAGAAAATAAAATTTGGGCAAATTAAGATATTCATAAACAAGATCAGTGACACATATGTCTGATGTTGGAAGATGTTCTCCTAAGGTTGCTTTTTCATGACTTTTATTAGTAAGAATGTACTTGCCATGGTCCATGGTTGGTTAAAGTTCCCTTTCAGGCTATAGAAGGGCTTCTACTGAGATATTCAAAGTGCATTAATGAATTTTCAAGTTTTATTACTACAGAATGACACAGTAAAATCATCTGGGATCCGCATTAAATCAGAGAGTTTCATCACAAAGTGACTCGGTTTCATGCTACTGCATGGTGAATGAGAGTCTCACAATAAAGCTACACCATGAACTTCTATATATTGTACAGTACACCAATAGCATTTTACAACAGAATTACATGATAAGCTTCCCTGTGCTTTACTCTAAATCAATGGAGATTCACAATAGGATTCACCTTTTAGCTTCTATGAATTGCATGGTAAATCAAGTGTCTTTATTTTAAACTGGGTAGTTGCAATCCCATTAGACAATAAAGTTATAGACATACCATTTCTGATAAGAACGAAGTCCTATCACCAAGACTTGCTTCAAGATAGCTAATGAGTTTCTCAAGAACAAAGGTAGTACTTTCTATGGCATCAACAACTGGAGTCACTTAGAGAAAAGGAGCAAAACTTACTGGAAGAGACAAAACAATCTCATGAACTACAAAGTCATGAAGGAACTGAAGGCTAGGAGAAGTCTTTCTATTGATGGGAGGCGATATTGTCGAAGACGAAAGGATTCAGAGAGAATGAGGAAGTAGTAGCAGGGAATGGGATAGGCTACTGGTCAAGCATTAATTGAAAATTCCATCTATTAATTAGCAAAAAGTTTATTCTTTCTTGGCAGAGAGAAATAGTTCTTGATTCTATGTTCTCCTTTATTAAAACATTTTTGGGATGTAGCATTAAAGAGAAATAATTTCTAGAGGAAATATTTTACCAACCTTGAAAGTTTCTCAATTCTGGAAACTTTTTGCCTTTTCAGTACAACACCATTAATTTTCTATTGACTAATTTTAAGTACAGTGAGTTCAGATTGGGTTTTAGTCTATCAAAGGGGGAAGGAATTATAAATATCAAATTTGATTTTAAAGAAATTTTACCTATGAGATGAACAAATGACGTAGACCTTTCAGACAATCCAAAGTGTGAGGTTTCTGAGTAGATACAGAACTGTAATATTTTGGGAATGGAGAGATACCAAGTATCCCTCACTCTTCTTTTAAACATGAGGAGCCCAAGGTCCAGAAATTTTTATATGACTTGCCCAGGGCTGTTAGTTACTGGCAAAGCCGAAATTATGTCAGGATCTGCTAATTCCCAGTATAGTTTTTTTTTTTTTTTTTTACTACACTGTACAATGTCAGCTATTATCCTATTTTTAAATAGGATTTTTGTGCTGTCACTGGAAGTTGTAAAATATTTTTACCCATGAATTTGCCCTTTTACTTGCATTTTACCATGTTTTAAAGCCCCATTGGTTTTCTGCCTAAAGGAATTTTGAATTGAATAGCCTTCTGGGTTCTAAATTTGTTTTAAAACTCATTTTAAGTGGCTCATAAAACTGTGTGCTTTTCCTGCTTGAGTTTGGGCCCATCCCCTGCTTTAAATTCACTTAGACATAAACTGGAGATAATTTTTGATTTCTTTCTACTTCGCAACCACCAGTCAGACTATTGCGATCCTGTTTTATGTTCTTACTGACAGAAACTGAGGTACGAATCCCAGCTCCTGAGGTGAATTTAGAGCGCCTTGGACCAGATTCAAATACACTAAGGTGGTGGTGGTGGGGGAAGGCATGGAGTGAATTTTAAATAAAAAGTATATTCAAATCTGTTCTAGAAAAATGCCAGCAGGTGTCAATGACTCATAGTCCTCTAGTCCTTTATCACATCATTAGCTTTTGATTGCTTGACCCTGGATGCTCATTGCTATATCAGTGTGTGCTGATGACTTCCTATTTTCTCTCAAATATTTTCTCTAAAATATCTCCCCATTCAACTTAAAGCTTTTATTGACAATGCCCTCTGAGAATTGTAGTAGCAGAAAAATTGGTTCTGTTTTTAACACCTTTACCACTAATCCTCAATAATCTTTGAGATTTTAATTTCATCTACTACATGCCCAATCTTACACAGACATTACAGGCAAATTTACCAGGAGCCCAGAGCTCCTAACACCCTGCCTTCCGTTCTCCCTACCACAGCTCTGAAATATACAGGGGACAAACTTTTAAGAGTTTACAATGGATATTATATAAGTGTTGTGTGTGTGTGTGTGTGTGTGTGTGTGTGTGTGTGTGTGTGTGAGAGAGAGAGAGAGAGTGAGTGAGAGAGAGAATTATTTGTGGGTAGATGTATTTTAGCAAGTTAGAAATAGAAAGTCATCTGTATTTCGCTCAGTGAAAGGTAATATTCACATTTGGCTTAAGAAATATATCTGTTGGGTGAACAAATGAAATTAGGATATGTGTTTCTTTCAAATTTCAGCTTTTGACACTTAAAGTATTTTGATCCAGCAGAAACAGGACAACTAGAAGCTGCAGGCCCAGTTCACTGCCCCCTGTTGGAGCTGCATTCACGCTGCAGACAGATGTTCCCATGTCATCACACTCAGTGACAACTCTACAGTTGCAGCGTGGAGAGTGGATGAAGGAAAAGAGATAGGTGAACCAAGGGGAAAAAAACAAAACAAACAAACAAATAAATGTGGACTGATTACTTCCACCCCTTAAAGCAGTGGTTCTCAATGTTGGCTGCACACTGCAGTTACCTAGGGAACTTAAAAAAATACGGATGTCAGGTGCTGCCCCCAGACATCCTGATGTAATTGGTTGGGGATGGGGCCTGAGCATCAGGATATTAAACTGATAATAAGTAAGGCTTATAAAAAAGCTGATTCTAATGTGCAGCTGAGTGGTTCTTAATCTTGGCCTTAAGGAATTATTGACTATCAATTCTGTTTTTGATTTAACCAGTGGTTCCCAAACCTGCCTGTTGGGAGACTGTTAAAAATACAGATTCCTAGGTCTCACCTCAGCTCAACTAGACAGAATTACTTGAAGGTGGGACTCCAAAATTCTGCATTTAAAAAATACCTCCTCAGTGTTATTCTATGCAGCCAGCTGCTTGAGAAACAGAATTATTTATCTGCTCTGACAATTACTAGGTAGTTTCTACTGGCTTATGTCCTTAGAGCTTCACAGGAACTTCCACTGGCAATTACTATTCGGGGGGTGGGAGGTGTGCCTGGAACTGGAAGTTATGCTGGAAAACACCTTCCAAGTGGGGATGAAGAATAGGAGGAACGATAGAAAAGAAACAGAAAATTTTTGTATAAATTTAATACTATTTATTAATACACTTATCCTCTGACTTAAGTAGAAATCAACAAGTGACTCTAATATGTGGAAAGTAATGGATTTGTCCCGGAGGTGCCACTTTCCATTGTGTAAACTTGAAAGATTGGTGGTTTCAACTATGAAGTAGACATCAGAACACTTCTCTTGTGGGGTTGTTGCGCCTAGTACAGTCTCCATGTGGAAGATACTCAGTGAGGGGCAGCCATTATTTTTATAGCATATACATAATTTTTTTTCTGAGCAATAATATGTGTAGAGAAGATGACAAGGAGGGAAGGATAATTAAGCAGAAGCATATCAAGCCTGGAACAATCGTAAAGCTTAATTGCCATCTATTAAGAAAAACAAAAAATCCAAGGTTGTTTTTCATTTTAGCCTCACTTATATTCCTTTTTAAAATGTAGATGGTGTTAAAAATGCAATTTTATTTTGAAATGTTTCCTTTTAAAATCAGTAGTGTCTTCTGTGTAATCATCCAAGAACTTCTGCAGTTACTACCAATATTATAATCATCAGCCACAGAATTATTATTTTTCTGTCTTAGATGTGTAAAAATAGCCTAAAAGATCAATTTTGGCTTCATTATGATACCATTTCCTTTCTCTTTTCCAAAACCCTTTAAGCTTCTCAAATTATGGGAAAACAGAATAAGTGAAATTTTACTCTGATATTTATTAAATGGTGTATACATTTGATACATCAATTTTAATATGTCTAGGACTTTGCCTTATGAATCGTTTATATTTTCATATAAACATCAGGCATACTATATTTCTTTTGCTTCATTGGTAAAGCTTACAGAGATTAGAAATGACAGACTTAAAATAACACCTGATCTGACAATAGAAAATCCACCCATGTACTATCCTCATACTGTATTTCAGAGAGAAAGAGAGAGAGTGAGATAATAAGGAAGCTGTGTTACTAATGAGAAACTATCCCTTTCTTAGTATGACTCCCAAAATACAAGGCTCTCAAGTCCTGTAAGTAAATCATAATACAATTATCCATTAAAAAATCTACTATTAATGACCTATTTTTAAAACATCAGTGGCAACTACCACTAATCTAGAAAAGCATGAAAGAAGACTTAACCAACAGAGAAGACTGCCAAGGTCCCACTGGGTAATAGGAATGTGAGAACCACAGATCTATGTTCTCCAGGTGTTATGGATTAAATTGTGCCCCCCAAAAAGATGTGTTGAAATCCTTACCCCTATACCTGTGAATGTGATCTTGTTTGGGGAAATAGAGTCCTTGAACATATCAGTTAAGTCATATTGGAGTATAGGAAAGATGCTATATTAAAGATAAATCTATAAAACAAGAAATGCCGAGAAAATCCCAGGGTTACCAGAAGCTGAAAGAGACAAGATGTTCTGAATTGTGCCTGAGATCCTGACCTGAAGTATTCTGCTTAAATTCTTTTTGTTTTGAGATACTGTTTCTTTCTTTTTATTTATTTATTATTACTGTAATTTAGATGAAGGTTTACAGAACAAACTAGCTTCTCATTAAACAATTAGTACACATATTGTTTTGTGATATTGGTTATCAAACCCACGGCATGTAAACACTCTCCCTTCTTGACCTTGGGTTCCCTATTACCAGCTTTCCTGTCCCCTCCTGCCTTCCAGTCCTTGCCCCTGGGCCGGTGTGCCCCTTTAGTCTCATTTTGTTTTATGGGCCTATCTAACCTTTGGCTGAAGGGTGAACCTCAGGAGTGACTTCATTACTGAGCTAAAAGGTGTCCAGGGGCCATACTCTCAGGGTTTCTCCAGTCTGTCAGGCCAGTAAGTTTGGTCTTTTTTCATGGGTTAGAATTTTGTTCTACATTTTTCTCCAGCTCCGTCCAGGACTCTTTGTTGTGATCCCTGTCAGAGCAGTCAGTGGTGGTAGCCAGGCACCATCTACTTGTACTGCACTCAGTCTGGTGGAGGCTGTGGTAGTTGTGGTCTCTTAGTCCTTTGGACTAATCTTTCCCTTGTGTCTTTGGTTTTCTTCATTCTCCCTTGCTCCTGAAGGGATGAGACCAGTGGAGTATGTTAGATGGCCGCTCACAAGCTTTTAAGACCCCAGACGCTACTCACCAAAGTAGAATGTAGAACATTTTCTTTATAAACTTTGTTATGCCAATTGAGCTAGATGTTCCCCGAGACCATGGTCCCCATAGCCCTCAGCCCAGTAATTCTGTCCCTCAGGGAGTTTGGATGTGTCTAT